CCCCCCCTCCTCTCAGACTCTGATTTAGCCCCTGGATATATGTACATGCTAATTCAGAGACCCCTTGTTTGTTACACAGTAAATTATTATCACTTAAGAGCAGAGACACTGCTGGGAACAGAATGATTTTTGTGGCTTATTTCCTAATTTTTTTTCTTGTAGAGAAAAAAACAACAACGAGTCAAAATCAGGGAAACACAGAATTGACAGTAAGTTCATATTTAATACAGAAAGTACAGAACAGCGTCTCTTAACCCGCTGGTCTGGACAAGCTTTGAAAGAGTCGTGAGCTCCAGTTGGAAAGTTGTTGACCCATTTTTTTCCTTTATTTAAAAATGTTAAAATTGCTTTTTTTTAAATCAGAAAGTCTCACATTTTTTTTCAATTTTCAAATTGTAGTAGGTGTGATGTTGAATTTGAGAGAGCTGGCTAGTTTTACTACTTACCTACATCGTTTTGTGACTGAACTGTCAGGTTAAAAATTGGGTGCAAAAGTCAGGATGCAAAATAGGGTGAGAATCACTGGTCTAGAAGATTCTGCAGGGTTACGTCTTTTAAAAGAGAACAAAAACAGAAATTAAACTGCACTAACAGCCACTTACTCATTAAAAAGTACATTTTTGTAGAGTAATATGATATGAAACTGACTTGAGGAGTGATTGTTTGAACGCTGAGCTGTGACTTTGTTCTAGCTGAACCCAGACCCTGAATATGCAGCAATAGACAACATCAAGAGAGACCCCCCAGGGCAGGTAAAGTGCAGGAATAAAATATATACAATGATAATTATGAGAGCAACCCATGTATCTATTTGTAAAAATTAAAATTTATCTGAATGGGAAGCAGCTGTATTTCATGTAGTACATTTTAATAATCCATTTGTTACATTACAGTTAAAATGTCTTTGACATGGAAATAAGAAACAACTGAAATTGGATAATATATGTACAAAACAGTAACTGATACATCAGATTATCACCAAACTCACCAACAATGATGCTCCACTGCTGTTAGTTAAAGAATGGACAGGTGGTTCTGTATAGATACATGGTCATAATGTGATCCTCTCTGAGGCCTCTGAGGAGCCTGGTGCTGATGTCACCTACAGCTCCATTGTCCTGTCAGATCCAGAGGTAAGATGGTTTCATGTAAATCAGTGTTTGGTTCAGGCATAGGACCAGTATCACAATGAGAGTGACACGTATATCAATAATGTGCTGACTGGGCAGGTACATTTATACCTCAGCTGATCTGTCAGATCCATGTATCAGAATTAGCTGTAATGTACCAAGAAGTACCATGATACCCTGATATTCACAGTGACTCACATGGGAGGTTTTGGAGTTTATGGATTTGTGGTTCCTGTACAAAGGTTGGTCTTGTACCTCCACTGTAAGCAGCTAAATGTTCTCAGCAGGTGTCCTCTAGATGTTCTTCACACCGTCCTGCTGTAACCCCAGCCAGCGATGTGGTCTACAGCTCAGTCGCCCTGAAGCACAGAGAGGTGAGTTTGGACAATCTGCTCTAACATGAGCTGTGATACATTTAGTGTCTGATGCTACATACATGTGATATGTTTCATTTGACAACATATACGGCCATGATTCCAACATCATACATGCAGCTCATTTGACTTGAAATTTTAAGCCAGATGAAAGTGAACTATAGAGGTTTCCCTCATTAATCTTTCACTCTGGTTCATTTCCTGTTCCTGTAGCAGTAACATTAACATACCAAACTCCCTGAAATGCTAAGGAAGGTGTTAGTGCTTCAGAAACCAAACTGATGTTAATGCTTATCTGTCATTTTCCAGTAGGGGGCAGCAACACAGAGAGGCTCCTCAACATGTGGGGAGCTGCTGCTCAGGATGAGAGCTGTGAGGGACACACAGATACTGCAGTGATGGGGAGGGTTAAAATAGATGTATGTGTAAGACATTATCTTGGCGGTGTGTCAACTGTGCCTTTTCATTCATATTATTGGAAAATAAATATCATTAACAATTCTAGTTGGTTTGTATAATATAGTTTCCAGAAAATACAGTATTCTGAGAAAGTGTTAAGTGTTTGTTGATATCAGGTCAGCGAAAGGTAGAACAGGTAAAGATGCAGGCAAGGAAGAAGAAAAGGCAGGTGAAACATAAAGGTAAAGCTAAAGGCATGAAGAAGCAGGATGGGAGGAGGAGAGTACTGTAGGTGAGAAAGGTGAGGAGAGGCAGGACAGCAGGAGGAGAGCAGGTGAGAAAGGTGAAGGCGAGGAGAGACAGGACAGCAGGAGGAGAACAGGTGAGGAAGGTGAAGGTGAGGAGAGGCAGGACAGCAGGAGGAGAACAGGTGAGAAAGGTGAAGGTGAGGAGAGGCAGGATAGCAGGAGGAGAGCAGGTTTCAAAAGAGAATTAAGAGGAAGCAGGCCTGAAACATATTACATAAATCAGGAAGTATGACTTTCTTACACATACAATGTGTTCTATCTAAATCTGCATGGTGTCATGGATGTGAATTAGTTTAATTAGACTAAATTTGAGTCATGCACCATTTTATAATACTGTATTTAAAAAACACAGACCAGAGTAGCAGGGAACACTACAGTTTCTTTACATTTGTGTTATGCATATACATTTGATCTGTGTAAAATCAGGTCTAATTTCACATTGGGGGGACTGTGTTCCAAACCCAGCAAGCTTTTTGCTGACACTTATTTGATATGTGGCACTTGATTCTATTCAAAGAACCTTAGTAGAATATATGTAACTAGGTTTGACGCAGACACAATCCTTTATGCTTGTGTTCAATTCAATTATATTTATATAGCGCTTTTAACAACTGTCATTGTCACAGAACACTTTACATGTAACCGGCCCAAACCCGCACCAAGTAAGCCTGAGGCGACAGTGGCAAGAAAAAGTGCCTCTAGCAGGAAGAGACCTTTCAGAGGAACCTAGACTGGGAAGGGGATCCCATCCTCCTCTGGGTGACCAGGGTCCATGAAAGTGTATGTACAGTAACATTAGTTCAAGATTAATGATTAATTTATCATTTTAAAGAAGTGAAGATATAAAAATTGTCTGAAGGTGTCGTTGCTTCAGCCGCAAGCTAAGTTCCACTCAGTAACATTAAGCTAAAGTTACTTCAGTGTTAAATTGCAATTCAGTTCAAGTCCATAGAGTTTAAACGTTCCAGTTGAGCAGACGAGCTGCTTAAGCTAGATTCTCTATATGCTTCCTCACCCTCACCCAGTCTCTACAACAGACGACTCCAGCTCTTATCGGAACAGGACATGGTACGGACACAAGTTGTGGAGAGGCAGCTGGCCCAGTCTAAGCAGGTTTTTTTCGAACAAGGTGATAAGGCAGGGAGGGAAGCTCCTGGCTCAACAAGCCCGGGGCGGCCTGCACCACCAGACTAATTCCCCAAATCACTTCACAATCAGGCAGTATAGTATCTGATCCAGCCGAAATCAATAAAGTATTTGCAAATTACTATGGCACTTTATATACTTCAGAGTCCTATGGACCCCACACAGAGTCCTAGCCCTCTTGACCTAGTAAACTACCCTCAGGTTGAAGAAACACTTGCTGGGGAGATGGGTAGTCCCATCACCACTCCCGAAATACTAGAGGCAATCAATTCTATGCATAGTGGGAAATCTCCAGGCCCTGATGGCTTCACAGCTGAATTTTATAAAAGGGTTTCTTCATCACTTGCTCCGCTACTGACAAGGATGTACAATGACTCAAGACATTCCGGCGTCCATTTCACTGATCCTCAAAAAGGACAAAGACCCTACGTTTCCCAGTCGTTATAGACCAACCCTTTTAAACGTAGATTGCGAAATACTGGCTAAAGTCCTTGCACAACGCCTCCAAAAAGCAATGCTGACTCTTATCTCCCCAGATCAGACAGGTTTTATGGCAGGGAGGCATTCCTTTTTCAACACAAGGAGATTATTAAATATACTACACTCCACTCCATCCAGCTCACCTGAGGTTGTTGTGTCCCTTGATGCTGAGAAGACGTTCGACAGAGTGGAATGGAGATATCTTTTGTATACCCGAGGGAAATTCAGCTTTGATCCAGGTTTTAACTCCTGGATTCAGCTACTTTACTCGTCCCCGTCTGCTTCTGTCCATACTAACGGGATTCATTCTCCACCTTTCTCACTTCAAAGGGGGACGCACCAGGGATGTCCACTTTCCCCCTTGCTTTTCAATGTAGCAATAGAGCCCCTAGCCATTCGGCTACGATGTCAGGATAGATTTGAAGGTATAACTCGATATGGTAGAATGCATAAACTTTCTCTCTATGCAGACGACCTGCTCCTATATGTTTCAAACCCCAAGTCCTCCCTTCCCATCGTATTGTCAATCCTGAATGAGTTTGGACAACTGTCAGGGTACAAGCTAAATTCTCAGAAAAGTGAGCTATTCTGTGTAAACCAAGCAGCCAAGGGTTTACCTCCCACATCATTTCCAATTAAGTTGGCCCTCGATGGCTTTAGATATCTCGGGGTAACCTTTCCTAGTACCTTTAAAGGGATATTTCCCCACAACTTTCAAGCCATACGGGATAAATGCAGAGCAGATTTTACTAGATGAGCCTCTCTTCCTTTATCCCTAGCTGGACGGGTCAATCTCATAAAAATGGTTACCCTCCCAAAATTCCTTTATCTTTTTCAACATATTCCTGTTTTCATCCCAAATCCTTTTTTATCAGTTTTGATCAACAGCTGACTGGGTTCTTATGGAACAATAAACCCGCGCGCCTCAGAATATAAATCCTCCAGCTTCCTAAATCTGAAGGGGGTCTGGCACTTCTGAACTTTCAGCACTACTATTGGGCTTGCAATATCCATAAAATTCTCTTCTGGACCTGTCCTGAACCTGGCAACAGTCCTTCCTGGGCCCTCATAGAGACGTTATACTCAAAAATGTCATTACATTATGCAATCTGCTCTCAGCTTCCCATAACAGCGTCCAAAGTCTCTCGTAACCCTGTTCTTGTTTACACTATTAAAATCTGGTCACAGTTCAGGAAGCATATTGGGTTGCACAGGTCTTCAGTTTATGCTCCAATTTTAAATAACCACCAGTTTCTTCCTTCTTGCTCAGACTCTGCCTTTCATAAATGGGCTAAAAATGGGCTTACCACAATTAATAGTTTATATGAAGACGGGGTCTTTACAACATTTTCATTCCTATCAGCTAAGTATCACCTGCCAAAAAGTCATCTGTTTTGTTTTATTCAAATCAGGCACTTTGTGCAAAAGCTGTTCCCTCATTTCACCAACCGTCCACCAGAATCAGAACTCAATGAGCTTCTAGCCCTTGATTGTGACTGTAAACAACTTATCGCTGTCTTTTATGACATAATTAGTTCTTTAAATGCAGTTTCTACTTCCTGCCTGAAAAACGCCTGGGAATCTGACCCTGGTTCTACTCTTTCAGACCGCCAGTGGAGGGATATCCCAGAAAGAGTCCACTCCTCATACATCTGTGCTAGACATGGTCTCATGCAGTGTAAGGTGCTTCATAAAGCTCATTTTACCAACGCCAGGCTGGCCAAAATATTCCCTGACAGATGTGCTGGCTGCAATAGGTGTGGGGGACCCTTGGCAGGTCATCTTCATATGTTTTGGCTTTGCCCTCAACTATCTGAGTTCTGGACAAACATATTTAAAACCATTGAGCAGGCCCTCAATATAGTTTTACCTCCCAATCCTCTAACGGTGCTGTTTGGCATTCCACTATCCGACATCACCTCTACCTCAGAATCTGCAGTGTTGGGCAAGCTACTTGTAAAATGTAGTGAGCTAAGCTATCAGTTACTCAACAATAAATGAAGCTTTCAGACCACCACAAAAGCTACCACCCATAGAAATATAGCAAGCTAAGTTACACAAATATGGCAAAAGTAGCTTACTACATCAGAAGCTACTTCACATTGTACCCACCTAATGCCAGATCAGTGCAAAATATGAGTCAGATACACTGGTTAAGACATTTATTAAAGATCAACCCATGATTTAACACAGTGTAGACATTGCGTTATGCGAAGCATCGAGACATAAATAAAAGCTTACTTTTGGGAATAAAACAAAAAAAACGTTATTGGCCTACTACTAGGTAAACCAGTACTCTAGTAAACAAACTATTTAGTAACAAATGAAAGCTACTGTGTAGTGTTTGATGGGCAAGACATGGCTATAGGTTTAAATCAATTTAAAATTTCTAGGGAAAAGAAAGATCATATTAACAGCCATCTTATTTCCTCAAGGCCTCCTTTAACGAGAAACCCCAATTAAACAAGTCGATTGAAGTTACAAATGAACTTTGTGTTTAAGAACCGTGTTAAACTGTGTTTACGGACGACATGCAACACCATGATTAATAAGCATGGCTCAGAAAGTGATCACTGGGACTATAGCAAATGAACTGGTCCAAACTGAAATGAGAATCAAAGTCCTGAATTACATGTTTTAGTGCTGGGGGAATGGGATGGAAGGGGAGGGGTGGGCAAGGGGGAGAGGGGTAATGGTGCATGGGTGGGCTCTTATTGTTCTAACAAGTGTTTGTTTACATGGCACAAGAAAAGCTTTTCAAAAGTGGCATCAGAAAGGCGGTTCCTCTTTGGTCTGAAAATATCCTTTCCTACGGTAAACAGTCTTTCACAGGCTGCATTTGCTGGAACCCCTGTGTTGTATCTATACGATGTATAACTAAGATGGATGCATCATCAAATTGCTAAAGCTGGATTCATTCTCATTACTTTTATTTATTAATTAGTTAAAACCCAGGACAGAATTTGGGCAAAGTCTATAAGTAAATAAATACTGTAGCGCGGAGGTACCGGCGGGCAGCACGGCATGTTGGACTGATGCCAGCTTGTAAATAGTTTTCAGTAATCGCGTG